AAGCCACGACCACGTGTCAGAGCAGGGAAGATGGCTGTGGGTCGTGTTCGTCACCCGATGCAGAGTTCGCGAACAGAAGTGAAATTTTGCGAACACTGCTGTTCGCGAACCAAATTGTTCGTGAACAGAAGCGTTCGTGAACCGAGGTATTACTGTAATTCTCCAATCTCATTATCTACTCATTTGGCTATTGCTTGAAAATTATCTGTTACATGTTATGTTTTAATAGAGGTTAATAAGGGAAAAGAGGCATGGGAGATTATATGAAAGGTATGGAGAATGCTTCATGCAACAACCGGGTATCCTTAGTAATACATATTTTGACCTTCCATACAATTAAAATGTGTAACTTAAGTTTGATTCAGTGGTTATGTGTTCAAAATGACCACATGAGCAAATTGTTCCTTCTTACTTCAGCAGTATTGTGATCCTTTGTTTCATCCATTCTGTAGTGAAATTTTTTCTAATTGGAAATATTTGTTTATTAAATTTATATCCTACTCTTCTGTCTATTTGACATTCAAGGTGGCTTACAACAAATTATTAAGTGTAAGAATCAAAGCAGTGAAAATCAAAGAAAAAAATCATTAACATCAAAACATTAATTGAACCAATGATTAGATGTTTGGTGGAAGATATTGTTTTTTTCATTTTTTTTTCTGAAGGTGGTACTTTTGGTTGGAAGCTAAAAACACCCCTTTGTGAAATGCATTCCACTGCCTGGGCTCCACACAGGAAAAGGTCTTCCAGGATACCTGATAGGGAAGCTTCTCCTAGCGGGGAGCGGGGGGTCCTCAAAAGAGCCTCTCATGCTAATCTCAGAGCCACAGAAATGATTTCTGTTCTTTAGTATCCTCTTGTAGATCCTGAGTATAGCAGACTTAAAAGGCAGGAAGTTTTTTTTTTAACTATTGATCCTTCTGTCCTAAAATCTTTTCCAGGGCTATCTCAGCACGTGGTTACGGACTACAGACAAGTAGTTGAACTTCTGGAAGAAGGAATAGCAAATAGGTATTTTGTATTAAAATACTCTAATACATGTTAGCTTCTTATTTATCATTATTTTTCTCATTATCATTCTATAGTACAGCTTTCATCAGCAAAAAGAATTGTTAATCATTGCAAGGAATGAACATTTACCATATTAGCATACTAATTAGTGGTGTTTTCAACGCTGCAAACATAATCTTGTTTAAAGAATAGTTTCTTGGTTTAAATGTTTTATTTTTTGAGACTTATTTTCTTGGTTTTTATAAAAATTATGGACATAATCTGTATATAGCTGTATGTGAAGTCCATGTGATTCTGTATACCTTAAACATATGATGGAATATGGTTTTATGTTTGGATCCAAGGATAATCCAGATATAGTCAAAACTGTCAGCAGTTTGTACTGAAATCCAAATCTTTGTAGTTTGATGCTTAACTTGTTTTCATATTGATTCTGCCGTATAAGTTATCTTAGTCGTCATTACCTGCCTCACAAAAATTAAATTATTAACTTTTCTTTTCTTGCATGTAGAATTACAGCAGCTACCCACGTTCATGATGCCAGCAGCAGATCCCATGCTATTTTCACCATCCAGTTTACTCAAGTTAGTTGAATTTTCCCAATAACTTTTTAAACCCATAAAAGTAAATCTTGTTGGTGTTGATTTCAACTATGAATACAGACAACAAAGTGACATTGTCTATAAAACTAATGTGTTCCAATAGAACATTATATTATCCTTGTAGTTGTGCAGCCACTGTCTAAAACACAGGTGAGCAGCACTTCTTTTCATTTGAAGGCCATATCCCCTTCAAGTGAGTTAATCTGGTAGTGATGAGTAGGGTGGAAGCCAAAAGGGAGGAGGCCATCATTTTCTCTCCCCCTCTTCTTTCCCCTCATATTCTTCTCTCTCCCTCTTTATGCCAACCTACCTTTCGTTTTCACGCTTTCTCCCTCTCTGCCCAATGAACTGCTAAGAGAAAAGATTGTTATTGTTAAAAACCTTTACAACTGTCATATCTGATGAAAATGCTCAGTGTTCAAGTTAGTTTAAAATAGATTAGGAGTTTTAAACTCTAGTCTTTGTTGTGTAGTGACCTTACTCCTTTCAAGCAATTTTGCTAGCAATATTCTGTTTTATTTGCACAACCTTTTATGTGCTACTCCTATTTATTCTTTGTTTACCAGGGATCCCCAAACTCTTCAGCTCATCGACCCTCCATGAAGTTTCAGATTGTTCATTGACCCCCAAACATTTATTATATGAGAATAATTTAATAAATACTTTAACTAATAGTACTATGAATAATAATAATAATAATAATAATAGATGATAATAATGACTTCATAAAAATAGGCAATATTTAAAATATGAAAATTATTATTTAACATACCTTTTTTTAATGAAATGGTTGATATCATTGATATCATGGGAAGGATGTATCTGATGAGCGTCAACAAGGGCATTGATATTTGATTGGAGATTGGTGAGTTTTAGTTGTGAGTCACCACGCTCTTCCAGTTTCAGTCTGTCCCTGTTGGCCCCCAGCCATTTACTGACCCTTTTGACTCCCAGCCATTTATTGACCCCTTGGATAGTCCCAGAGACCCTTGGGGTTCAATATTGACCACTTGGGGAACCCTGATATATACCATCAGATATAGACTGCTTTATCAGTATTTATCAGTTCCATTTTATAACATTTGCACAGATCCCAGCAAGAAATATGGCAGTTTGGAATTTAATTAGATTCTGTTCTAGAGTGTTCTAAAGTAGTGTAACAAACCCTAGGAGTGTTTTCAGAGATTTTAGCGGATAATCATTCTGCCTTAAAAATAAATTTTACAAGGGCTCCATGCAATCTAATATTCTAGCTTTTTAAATATTTTTTTCACAAAATAAACTCAGGAAAGAAGGGAGAAATAGTGAACAATACTTTTGGATTGTAGCAGTAGTAATTCTCTATCTGGAATTCTCTAATACATATATTTGCAGTTAGAAGAATATTCTTGGTTTGGGTGAAGTTAGTGTGCTGAAATGTGTGGAAGCTAGTGTATAGGACCCAGAGAGCCAGTTATGGTTTCCCATTTAGCAGCTCTTACGTGGGTTGTGGTCTCTCTGCATCACATCAGTGGGTTTGCCTTGCCTGCCCAGAATACAATTTGGAACCTTTCAAGTGAGTTTTCTTTTGGTAGGCAGTTGAGGTTTTTTAGCTCTTTGTTTCTTTGTTTTTGGTCTTTGTTCCTTTTGCCGGGCCAATATTTTGCCTTTATCTTCATTCCCTTGGAATCACTGCAGCGGTAGTACCTCAACCAGTTCGCGCACAATTTAGAACTTGCATTACTGCAGTGCTTACTATTATTGCTCCACTTATGCCTTCGGCTGTAGCTTCTTTATTCTCCATACCAGCTCCATTGGTACTTCTGGTGATTATGGTTCTGAGTTCTACGCTGGTACTGCCATCAGTACAGCACAGTGAGAAGTAATTAATTCAGCATTAACTATTGTGGTAGCTAGCATGCATATGTCTAATACGGTTGTGAAAATTATTAGGAAAAAGTGCTTTAGATCTTGTGAATGCAGCACCTCTCTGCTAGTCATTAAAATAGCCCAACTTTTTTCAGGCTTCCACACAAAAAGGCGCATTAACTTTAGTGAGTGGATTCCTTATATTGATGAATTGACAAAAATAATTTGCTTCAAGGATTTTGGTTTTCCCCCAAGGCTACCGCATGCTTCCATGCCTATGAACTCTGAGGAAGTGGATAGGGTCCTGTGCCCAATGTCAGTTGTTTTACTGCTCCTCCTGGCTCCTGTAGGGAATGGGAGGAAGAATGACCATGTAGACCATGGGAATCTCAATGCCTCCTTATGTGAAGGGCAGCTCCTGGCTGCCTTGAGAAAGATATGCCTCTTGCTGAATGTCTGTTTATCATGCAGGCTTGGATAATCATTGTCTTCAGCCTTCCTTTTTTTGTTGATGGCTGATCAGCTCTGCAGCTCACTAGAAGGAGTGGATTATCTGGCCTGTTTTTGGTCTGGGTTCAGGCATAACTATGGAACCATAATGGTCTGTGTTGGGACCTGGATCAGATAATGCAGGTTGCCTTCCTTTTAGACCTCTCAGTGGCTTTTGATACCATTGACCATGGTATCTTACTAGTCCACCTGTGGAAATTGGGGGTTGTGAGCACTTTTGCAGGGGTTTTACTTCTTCTTCAGTGAATGGTTTCAGTCTTTTGTGGTGGAGGACAGATCAGACCAGTGGTCCCTCACTTATCGGATACCACAGGGTTTGGTCCTCACCCCCCTGTTTTTTAACATCTATATGAAACTGCTGAGGGAAGTCCTCCAACAATTTGGGGTATAATATCAGTATACTGATGATACCCAACTGTACATTGCTACCATGGGCTGTGGAGGAAATGCTGCTGATGTTCTGTCCTGGAGCCTGCGAAAGTCTGGATGGGAGACAACAGGTTCATATTGAACTCAACCAAGATGGAGTTGTTATGTGTACATCAGGGTTCTCCTTTGGTGCCAGTTATCCCTGGGTAGATAGGCACTACCCATCCCAGCAGGTATGGTTTAGGGGGTCCTTTTGATCTTGCAGCTCCTGTTTGAACAACAGGTGGAGGCCATGGCTAGGAGAGCCTTTGCCCAGTTTCAGCTGGTGCACCAGTTGCATTCTTAGGTGGTTGTAATGGTATGTGGGAAAGACCTTGGGAAACAGGGCAAAGAGATGCTGCTTAGGGAATGGTCAAATAAGAGGCAGCACAGCCTGCAGCAGGATACTGGGAGGGGCAAGAGGCTTAGAAGGGACCCCCCCTAGTTCTCAGGCTGTAAAGAAGACAGCAGGAGAATTGTACTTTCAGACTTGTAAGATTCTGTTAATTAGCTTTACAATAAAGTACCATTAGCTTATCTGGTTATGTTTCCTGTCTGATCTACCTGGTAAGGCTGACACTGGTGCAGGAGGACCTGGCAGTAATTCATGCTCTCATAGACTATTGCAATGCACTTTACAGGTGGCTGTCTTTAAAGACCACCTAGACATTATAGTTAGTCCAGAATGTGACGACCATTGTCTTAATTGACTCTGACATTGGAGCGTATTATACCTATTTTGTGGCTGTGCCATTGGTTACCAGTTTAGTTCCAAGTACAATTTAAAGTGCTGATATTAATCTGTAAAACCCTTCATGATTTGGCACCTGGGCTCCTACAGAATGATTTCCTCCAAGCAGATTTGGCCTGCTGTGTTAGATCATATATAGGGGCTCCTGGTCCTACATTTCTGAGATATTAACGGAGCCAAAGTTGGAAGGTGCTGCTTCTCTGTAGCAGTGCCAACATTATGGAATGGCTCCCCACTGAGATGAGACTCACCGTCTCCCTGGTAGGTTTTAGGAAGTTAATACAAACTGAAATTTTCTGAAGAGCCTTTTAATAATATCTTATTATGATAAGATATATAAGAGTCAGTTTGGTGGAGTAGTTAAAGCCCCAGGCTAGAAACCAGGAGACCGTGAATTCTAGTTCCGTTTTAGACACGAAGCCAGCTGGGTGACCTTGGGCCAATCACTCTCTCTCAGCTCTAGGAAGAAGACAAGGGCAAACTACTTCTGAAAAATGTTGCCAAGAAAACTGCAGGGACTTATCCAGGCAATTACCAGGAGTCAAAACTGACCTGAAGGCAAAGAAAAGGAAGATATATAATAATAAATAATAATAACTTATTATGATGTTCTTATTTTCTCTCTCTTGCTTTGATTTTATTTTTGCTATTTGGATTGCATATTGTTTTAATTATTGTTTTTAAATTGGACATAACCTCCAAGAATTGAGATTGTGGCGGGATAAAAATCAAATGAGTAAATATGCTTTACAGGCATGCAGTTCCATTGATATAAATGCAAATTTGACTACTTGAAGAACCTCACATACAGATAATCAGTCTGTTCTTCCAGCCATTTCTATGGAATCTAGTATAGCAGAATAACAATTTTACTCTGAAATCATACTATTTGAATTTATTTTCCCTTAGGCTATACTTGAGAATAATCTGCCTTCCGAAACAGCAAGTAAAATCAATTTAGTGGATCTTGCAGGCAGGTAATACTTAGCTTTTGGAAATTATTCGTAACTGTTTACTGTTAATAAACAATTTTCCATTTTGTATTGTTTGCTGTGGAATTCCTATATGTGGGATTCTGGGTAGTTCTTAGGTATATTTGAAGGTATATGGAACACTGGTATCTTTAACTGGTAGCCAGCCTGCAGCTTTAATTTGTGATAAAGTTTGATAACTAGTGCAAATTGCCTTATTCATGAGCTTGCCTATCTTTATTGGCTTTCTCATGAGTTTCAAAATAAAATCCAGAACAGATTTTGAAACACGCACCAATAAACTGGTTAATACCACATTACAAGTGTTCTTAATTGAAGAGGAAAGGTTCAACTATATTTGTCAATCATAGTATATTACGGAGGGAGAGGTAATGAAATGGATTTTGTCAGAGTTTTATTTAGCACTTAAACAGATTAAGTGAAGATGTATTTACTGTGCATGGTATTTGGGAGTAATTTTGGTACTCCTGAAAAATGAAACTTCGGAATTCTTCTGCCTCCTAGTGGATTATATATATTATATAATTATATTATATAGTTATATATAATAAAATATATATTACATTATATATACAATTATATATGAATATAAGAGAAGAATACAGGTTCTTAATTCTTTGGAAGCAATTATGTCTAAACTTTGTCAGTGTTATATGTGCATGTACCTTGGCTTCAGATTACTTGTAGAAGAATTTCACCCATGGGACTCTGCAGGAAATGGTATCTATTCTCTCTGTAGTCCCATGGAAAGCTGTTCTGTTAGGGACAATAATGACTATACTTTGAAATTTTGTAAAAATATGTGAATTTGGAAAAATATAATTGAAAATGAATATAATTGTTCATATTATGACAAAAAAGTGCTTGAATTTGTATCTGTGTCTGATAATTTTAAAAGAAATAAGAGCTGTGGGTTTAAACACAATATATAATGTAAAATAAATTTTGCAAAAAAACAAAAAAGAATATTAAAAGCTGGACTTTATAATTCTGAAACATTTTTGTTTCCTAAAGAAAAGGCTGAGCGGCTTAAACATATCAATTGTTCAAGGGCATTATATATTAAAAACAATATTAAGCCTGGTTTTAGAGTGTTTTGTTGTTGTTTAGTGCATTCCTTTGCTTTTCTTACATCCATAGAATAGAAATTATATTCCAAATAATGAATGAAGTGGTACTAAGATCAACATCATGACTGAAAATGAAATCTTATGAAATCTTATTCCTTCTACATATTAAGCCAGAGATGTATAACTTACAGTCCTCTAGATGTTAGTGAACTCCAGCTACATCTCTCAAATTGCCTGATCTTTGTCCATTCTGGATGGATAAAGCTGGACTTAATAAACATATTAACCTCTTGCCTCCTCATAGAGGAATAACACACGTAATAGCTAGGGATGATAGAATAGTAATTCTGTAATATCTGGATGCCCACATGTGGTAAGCCCGTGGATAAGTCATAGACTTTTCAATAGCAGGACTTCCTTGCCAAAGTTTAAACTTCAGCATCTTTTGGAAATATTAGAAAACTTGATTTGGTGGCTTGTTTTTGTGAAAACAGGCTATTCTTTTAATTATTTGAGAGTTGGCTGGTGTTTTGTCATTCCTTGTTTTTATGCTGCTTCTTTCATATACTGATAATTGCCACTGCTACTTCAATTATCTCTTTGGTTGTGTATTTCAGTGAAAAGGCTGATCCTAGTTACTGCAAACATCGAATCACAGAGGGTGCCAACATTAACAAATCATTAGTTACTCTTGGAATTGTCATCTCTACTTTAGGTAAAAATAATATTAACTTTTATTTGAACAATAACTTAATAAAATGCTAATGAATCACCTACTGAACTTTCCTATGAAGCATACTTGCAAGCAGGCATGGTAAATAAATGAAATAATATATTCATAAATATTTCATTTGTTCTTAGATGGGGAGCAGGATTATAAAAAAAGCATTGGCTGCCTTCATACTTGGGGCTAAGCTGTGGTTTTCTGATGACTTCTGGTCTTGCTCCCCTCCTTTTTAGGTGCTCTTACCTTTGCCTCTGTGGATTAACTATAGCAGAGATGCACATCCAGTTTGCATGTGGTCTTTGAACTGATGTCATGCAGCCCCCTGAGCCTTCCCCATCTTGCAGATGACCAGCTGTGACAATGACTCAAGTTTTCTGCAGTCCCCCTTATCATACTGCTTTCCCATTTGTCACTGCCACTGCCATGCACCTCTACCATCTATCTTCTCTGTCTAATTTTCTTGGTGGTCTCACCTGTGTGCTTCACTTCTTTGTCCCTGCCAGAACCATAGTTCCCCTGCTGACATGGTCTTGGCTCTTTGCTTGCCTGTGATCAATTTGGGAAACCAAGAGAAGAAGCCTGGTGACCCGAGAGAACAGAATAGGAAGCAATGCCCTTTGCCGTCCTCCTTTACTTTTCACCGTTTTGCAGGAGATGAGAAGTGCAAGAAACAATGGCTATGTGACTGGTTTTATCCCCTTTCAGTTTCTTCCTGCTAAGTTACGTCATGTCCTGTTATCTTTTGGTATCAACAGGCAGAACCTCAGGAAACAGGAAGCAGCTGCAGTATTAAGGAAAATAACAGAGAAAGAAAGAGCAGTCCTTAAGTTCCTTTTCTGCTTTCCTTCTGTTTCTTTCTGGTTTATTGTTTAATGATCAAGAAGTTATGAAACTTGGACACTTTATGATCACTGGAAGAGATGAAGAATCACTTGGTGAATGAACGGACTCTGCCTATCACAGCCTTCCTAGCAATTCCAGTTGCAACCCCCTCACTTTCCATGATGGGAAAGTGTCAGCAATTTGCTGGAGAGTGTAGTGGCTCTTTGCTCAGAATGTATGGAATGATGAGAGAGAATGAGGGTATCTTTCATGTCTGAGTGAGTGTTCTGGTCACTTTTATAAAATGGCTACCCTATTTGCTTTTTCTAGCCAATTTCAAATTTATCCATGATTTTTCCAGCACATACAAGTTAGCAAAAATATATTAGGGGTTCCTTTAATGGGTTCCTTTAAGTTATGGTTGTTCTTTATATTCAAAGAAAAAGAAGCCAGCATTACAATTCATAACATAATAACAGTTTTGCCCCATTCTACTCCTTCGCTCTCTATGCAGGTATACTTGTTTGAGAAGGAGGGAGAGAAATTAGTTGATTTAAAGAAAAAAAATATTGGTATAGGAAGTTTGTAGTAAACAGGTCCTACACATTAAGTTACAAATGAAAAATTACATTCACTGAAAATCTCTTCTGCTGCGTGAACTTGGGTAAATTGTAGGAAAGACTTCATTCAAAATAATTTTGTAGCTGGAAATACACAGGAAAAGAAAAAAAAGAAAAGAAAAGGCATTTCCAATATCTGTCTTCTCTGAGGATAAATCTTCCTATCTTTCTGTTGTGACCTCCAGAAAAAATTCAGATATTTCCCTGAAGTTCTTTTTTCCCATTAACATTCCACTCTTTTTCTTCTTGCTATTTTATGCTGTTAGAAAACAGTATGGATACAATAGTGTGAAAATACAAATGGGTCACAGCAGCATTAAATCCTCAGTACAACACATGGGAGAACATTTGTATTAGAAAATACAGTTAAAAATTAAAAGCAAATAAAAGCATAAAATATCGCCTTGCACTATATTCTGCAACACCTTGAATTTCCGGGGTCTTATGCACGAGTTCTTTTTGTGGACTTCAGTT